TATCTTGGCAGTCCATGACATTTTCAGTATTCTTGTCCAACACCATATTTTAAGGGCATCAGTTCTTCTGCCATTCTTATTCACTGTCACACTTTCAGATAGATAGGGAAACAATTAAAAACACCGTGGCCTACATCAGGTGGACCTTAATCTTTAAACTGACATTTTTGCTCTTTAGCACTTTGGAGAGGTCCTTGACAGCAGATTTCCCCAATTCAACACATCCTTTGGTTTCTTTTTTTTAATGAATTGATTTTAATGAAAGTTTATAGAGACTTTGGATTTCCATGCATTCATTGTTGTACTTTACTCCCTGCCCACCCCTCCCCTCCAATTAGTTTTTTCTCTTTGGAAAGTAAAAGAAAAAATTATTTCATTTTTATTCAATCCCTCCCCCCAAGTCCACTCCATTATGCTAGAAACTGTGATGAGTGATAATTGTGGATTCAAGTAAAATTAAATCATTGACAGCTTCAGTCTTTTCTCCATCTATCATGACACTGCCTTTTGATCCAGTGGAGAGTATTTTTGTTATGGAGATGTAATCCATATTGAAAACTTTAATCTTTGATCTTCTGCAGCAAGTGTTTCAAGTCTTCTTAATTTTCTGCAAGGAAAGTTGTTTTCATCTATATAATGCAGTTACTTGAATCTTCCTCCACTTCTAATGCCACATTCTTCTTCATAGCGTCCAGCTTCTTTAAAGTTTTGCTCGGCATACAGATTGAATAGGTATGGAGAGAGGCTATGAACTTGACACATACTTTTGTTTATTCTAAACCTTGCTGTTGTTCCCTTATTCTGTTCAGATAATGCTTCTTGTATAGGTTTCTCATGAGCACAATTAAGTGTTCTGGGATTCCCATTCTTCTAAATGTTATCTATAATTGGTTATGATCTATCTACTTACGGTCAATAAAACAAAAGCAAACATCTTTCTGGTATTCTGTATTTTCAGCCAAGATCTAGCTGACATAAGCAATGATATTCCTCATGTCATGGCCTCTTCTGAATCCAGCTTGAATTTTTAGTACTTTCTGTCAATCATTTTTTTATGACTGACCAGTTCTGGTAATTTTAAAAGAATGTTCAGCAATATTTTTTGGATGTAATGTTGATGATATTGTTCTATAATTTCCACATTTGGTTGGGTCATTTTTTTTTTTTTAGGAATGAGAACAAATGTAGGTCTCCTTCAGTCAGTTGACCAGGTAGATATCGTCTACATTTTTTTTAGAGTACAAATATCCATTTGTGCCTGAGTTCTTATTTTCTCTGAAACTGAGGAGGAACTGAAGCTCTTGCTGCAGATGGTCAGGGACTACAGCCTTCAATATGGATGGAAGCTCAATATCAAGAAAACAAAGATTCTCACCACTGGGCCAATTGGCAGCATCATGATAGATGGTGAAGAGTTTGAGATTGTTAACAGCTTTAGTTTGCGTGGCTCTACAATCAACACTCTTGGTACCAGCAGCCAGGAAATTAAAAGATGAATTGCATTGTGAAAGTTTGCTCTCAGAGACCTCTCCAAAGTACTGAAAAGCAACGATGTAAATCTGGAGATTAAGATGCATCTGACACAGGCCATGTTCTTTGCAATTACTTGCTATGCATCAGAGAACTGGACAATGACTAGGAATAATAGAAGAAGAGTTGATTGATACCTTTGAACTGTGGTGCTGGAGAAGAGTATTGAATATACAATGAACTGCTAGGAGAACAAACAAGTTTGATCTGGAGAGGATGAAACCAGGCTGCTTCTTGGAGTCAATGATTCTGAAGCTTAGTCTGACATACTTTGGACATGTTGCAAGGAA